GGGGGGCAACTTCAAACCCAAAACTCAGGGCTCATCCTCTTGGGGCGCTCTCAAAGAAAGCAACGGATGCTCTGGGGGCGGCGCCCGGGTACAAGGTGCTGCGATGCCATTGCTTATCTGTATCCCAGCCCCTTGTGGAAATGGCCGCCGCAGACAAGGCACGCAGAGACACCTGGTAAAGCCCCCCCCCCCCACTCTCTCTCCCGTACCTGGGACCCCAGCGCTATAGGTCCCGTGGAGCAGAGGGTGGGGAGGCCTGGGGAGAGCTGAGGGCTCCTTTAAACACAGGCGCGAGGTCACGGGGTCACGGAGCCGTAACAGGGCAGGCACTGAAATGACAGCGTGACTATCATAATCACTAGACGAAATGAAACAAACATGAAAGGCTGAGGGGGGGGGGGGGGGGGGGGGTTTATTCGCCCTCTCTAGGCTAGTGATTTTCACAGAATGATGTACTGAGCCCGATGTGTGACTTCACATTAATAGCATAGCTCAGTATTGCTGCATGCAAAGAAAAAAACCTCCAGCAGGGGGCTCTGTCATTACAGTGGACTTAGAACCCCCGCGGACCCCTGGTAAGAGAGCTTTCATTGAGGGGCACCATCAGGGCCCACTAAGGCTCACTGCAATGGAGCTCTAATTGGGGGGGCTTTGTTTTACAAGGGCTAATTGCACGACTTTATTAGCATGAGTATTAGAATAAAAACAAGACACTGCGACTAGGCCATCTAATCTACATCCACAGAGAAACATTCCACATTCACAAAGACAAAAACTCACATCTCTTTTGAGAAAATGACAACACACATACCAAACAAACCAGTCACTGAAACCATTTCTCACTCTCCCGTTTACAAAGTAAAACATTCAAAAACAATGGCAGTGTTACTGGCAGTGACCACAGAGATGGAACGGTCATAATTTGTTAAACAATCAATGGTACCATGCAAACAAAACATAAACAAAAGCCTTTTTGCAACGCATACCTTAGAACTGACACACAGCACTTAGATTACAGTGCAATTACTCGCATGCTATGGCACTAATGTCCTTGTTCGTCATGTTTTAGAATTGTAATGCCTTATGACGACATTAATGATGGGTCTTCCATCATATGAGTCGCTGGATTTGCTTGTAGATCTACAGAAAAAGCCAAACGAGCGAGAAACACTCTTTGCACAGGAGTGAATATTAAACGAACGTATAACGAAACCACAAACGTCACACGCAAGCAGCCATGCTCTAGGGGAGGGGGGATTTCCGTCAGCGGAATTAGGGACTAATTTGTTTTCTGGGTCATGCCTTGTTATGGCGTCTGGTAATTCCTCAAGGAGAAGGCGAGGCAAGTGGCATCCCCCCGCACGAGGACACGGGTCCCTGATGTGTGTCTGCGGTCCCGGGTACAAAAGCGGGGATCTGTGGCCAGTGCCTCGCTAAGATGGAGGCCATATCGGTCACCGGGATCAGACCTCGCCGCTTAGATAAGGCCGTCATACAAGCTTGGGGAGCACGGAGGATAAAATGAGCCTGGTTCTTGTTCGTGAACACACAGGTGTGGCTTCACAAGTCACCGGGTGCTTCGTGCACCCCCATCAGGGAACCGGGCCGGCGGCCGCGGGCCGCGCGTCACCTTGCTGCGCGACCTTTCCGACGCGCCAGGTGCGAGATACACATCTCGGAAAAAGGAGCGTCAAAGCGTAGAGGCCGGATGACGTTCGCGCAGACGGTGGAGATGCAACGGGAGGGTGGGACACGGACGGCTGCCGGTTCACCACCTGGCCCAAAAAAAGACACCGTCTGTACGTGGAGAGGTGGATTCCGCTCTCTGGGGGAAGGTGGCGGTTTGGATGCGAGGCCTGATTTTCCAGGCTGTTATTTAGGGACGGCATCCCCAAGGGTCCCGCTCAGATGCAGACGCATGTGACGACGCAGCAGCTGGGCCGCCAGAGTGAGGAAAATCCGCAGACGGCTTCACGCCTCCCATGTCACGCTGTCCTCGCCGCTACGGCACGTTCTGGCCATGCGTACGCAGGCAGATAGAGGGCGAGTGCTTCTCCGGCAACCCGCTCCGTTCCAAAAAAGCCCGCCTTGCAGTGCACCACAGCTGCCCCGCCAGAAAGACAGGCATCGGTGGAGCATGCATGCTGGGGACCCTGGCAGACGCGGAGGATAATCCACTAAGCCCCAGCTTCAAGCGTGGGGGGTTCAAGGGGGCGGGGGATGGAAGGGGTTATAAATAAACAAACGGGAACCCTTAAGAGCCACATTCGGCTGTGGCAGTCCAAACAACTTTGCTACAGTCGAAATGCATTAGTCTCTGAACCGGCGGACGCCCCCACCGGATCTGCCGGAGGTCAGGCATGAGGACAGTGTCGCCCATGTCCGGCGGCACGCCGATCCACTCCTGAGTGTATAAGGAGATTTTGCCGGATTACCGCCGCGATTTGAGCCGATGCATCGTCCGTAATCCTTCAGCTCCCTAAGCACCAAATGGTCAGGGAAGATTCTCTGATTATTTAGTGGTCAGCTAGTGGGGGGGGGGGGCACTGTGTCTGTGACCACCAGACCTCTGGGGGGGGAAATAGGATCTCAGAGCCCATTGTCTGATTCACGGACGTGAGCTCCGCTGGGCGAGCAGAGCATCTGGAAGCGGCGTGAGGGAAGACGGCAGATGACATTAATCTGACACGTGGCCCTGCGAGGAGACCCGGATCCAAGGGCACTCCGGCGGGTTGGCATGCCTGTCGCGGCCATGCCCAGCCCCCGACCCTGAGGGCGGCACTCCATGCCGACTACCCCGCAGCACTGGCTCTCACTTTAATTACACAAACAGTGAGTCTC